GTTCTAGTTCAGTTCTAGTTCAGTTCTAGTTCAGTTCTAGTTCAGTTCTAGTTCAGTTCTAGTTCAGTTATAGTTCAGTTCTAGTTCAGTTCTAGTTCAGTTCTAGTTCATTCTAGTTCAGTTCTAGTTCAGTTTCTAGTTCAGTTCTAGTTCAGTTCTAGTTCAGTTCTAGTTCAGTTCTAGTTCAGTTCTAGTTCGTTCTAGTTCAGTTCTAGTTCAGTTAGCTTCTAGTTCAGTTCTAGTTCCGTTCTAGTTCCAGTTCTAGTTCAGTTCTAGTTCAGTTCTAGTTCATTTCTAGTTCGTTCTAGTTCAGTTCTAGTCAGTCTATTCAGTTCTAGTTCAGTTTCTAGTTCAGTTCTAGTTCAGTTTCTAGTTTCAGTTCTAGTTCAGTTCTAGTTCAGTTCTAGTTCAGTTCTAGTTCTTCAGTTCTAGTTCAGTTCTAGTTCAGTTCTAGTTCAGTTTCAGTTCTAGTCAGTTCTAGATCAGTTTCTAGATCAGTTCTAGATCAGTTCTAGTTCAGTTCTAGTTCAGTTCTATTCAGTCTAGTCAGTTATAGTTCAGTTCTAGTTCAGTTCTAGTTCAGTTCTAGTTCAGTTCTACTTCAGTTCTAGTTCAGTTCTAGTTCAGTTCTAGTTCAGTTCTAGTTCAGTTCTAGTTTCAGTTCTAGTTCAGTTCTAGTTCAGTTCTAGTTCAGTTCTAGTTCAGTTCTAGTTCAGTTCTAGTTCAGTTCTAGTTCAGTTCTAGTTCAGTTCTAGTTCAGTTCTAGTTCAGTTCTAGTTCAGTTCTAGTTCAGTTCTAGTTCAGTTCTAGTTCAATTCAAGTTCACTAGATCAGTTCTAGATCTGGTACTAGATTTGTTTCTTTTTTTTCAGGTCCTCGTAAGCACTCGTGTATTCTGATATAGACATAAATTCCTGCTTAAATATATTTATGTATACAAAACATGATGTTTGTTTTATGAATATATGTATAAACATGTCCAACATATACACACATACATACATGTGTGTGTGTGGGTGTGAAATAGTATGTTTGTGTAGGTAAAATTATATTTTAAGTAAAAGTAAATGGACATGGAAAATATTCTATGCTAAATTTTGTTATTGATGTTTAAAAGCCTTTATATGTATTGGTTTTTATAACAACAAAAACAACAAGAAAAGTAGCAACAAAAACTACAACCAAAACTACTTTACTAGTACTTAATAGTTGCATGAGTATGTATAAGTCTAGTGAATAGTGTGCATGTATATGTACCTTCATTTTACATACACATTTATTATGTACATGTCTGTATAAGTGTATTGAAGTTAAATGCATATGAGTCTTTATGACTTTAATTTATTGCTCAAATAATGGTTAGTTGTAGTTGTTTAACTTTTAGTGCATTTTAGAAAACAAACACACAAACAAACACATCGTCTATGTAATAATTTTTTTTATTATCAAATGCAAACATTGTTACTTACATCCATATGTACTTATGTGACTGAATGCAAGTGTGCATTTGTGTGTCTTTGACATATTCATTACTTGTTTGTCTTGTTGAAGATGTTTATAACAGCTTAGTCCTTTTTAGTTGTTATTGCAGTGTATAAATGTGTGCTTGCTTTTGAATTTCAAACTATTGGAAAAATATACAACAAGAGTACATTTTATAAGTCAAGTTGCTAAATTAAGGCAAGAAAGTCGTACAGAGTACAACTACATTGACAAACATGTAACTTGTTTAAAATGTTGTTTACTTGCTGTAATCAATAGTGTGGAGTATAATTTTAGGTATACTCAAAAGAAATATAATAAAATTATATACACAAGCAAAAATATAAAATGTTTGGAAACTACGCAAGTACATACATACACAATGTTTCACAAACTGCCAAAAATCCAATAGTAAAACTCACAGGTTGTATGAGTAATATTTTGAATAGTTTCTCAAAATATTTTTCATACTACTTGTAGCACTATATGATGCTTTGTACTAAGTTAGCAAGGAGGACTACTAGTCGTATGAGTAAAAAATATAATTCCGTTATGCTACACTTAAGACATCAAATCCTATTCTTGATTATGAGGACTGCTAGTCAAGGTCTAGTTCTAGTTCAGTTCTAGTTCAGTTCTAGTTCAGTTCTAGTTCAGTTCTAGTTCAGTTCTAGTTCAGTTCTAGTTCAGTTCTAGTGCAGTTCTAGTTCAGTTCTAGTTCAGTTCTAGTTCAGTTCTAGTTCAGTTCTAGTTCAGTTCTAGTTCAGTTCTAGTTCAGTTCTAGTTCAGTTCTAGTTCAGTTCTAGCTCAGTTCTAGCTCAGTTCTAGTTCAGTTCTAGTTCAGTTCTAGTTCAGTTTTAGTTCAGTTCTAGTTCAGTTCTAGTTCAGTTCTAGTTCAGTTCTAGTTCAGTTCTAGTTCAGTTCTACGTTCAGTTCTAGTTCAGTTCTAGTCAGTTCTAGTTCAGTTCTAGTTCAGTTCTAGTTCTAGGTTCTAGTTCAGTTCTAGTTCAGTTCTAGTTCAGTTCTAGTTCAGTTCTAGTTCAGTTCTAGTTCAGTTCTAGTTCAGTTCTAGTTCAGTTCTAGTTCAGTTCTAGTTCAGTTCTAGTTCAGTTCTAGTTCAGTTCTAGTTCAGTTCTAGTTCAGTTCTAGTTCAGTTCTAGTTCAGTTCTAGTTCAGTTCTAGTTCAGTTCTAGTTCAGTTCTAGTTCAGTTCTAGTTCAGTTCTAGTTCAGTTCTAGTTAGTTCTAGTTCAGTTCTAGTTCAGTTCTAGTTCAGTTCTAGTTCAGTTCTAGTTCAGTTCTAGTTCAGTTCTAGTCAGTTCTAGTTCTAGTTCAGTTCTAGTTCAGTTCTAGTTCAGTTCTAGTTCAGTTCTAGTTCAGTTCTAGTTCAGTTCTAGTTCAGTTCTAGTTCCAGTTCTAGTTCAGTTCTAGTTCAGTTCTAGTTCAGTTCTAGTTCAGTTCTAGTTCAGTTCTAGTTCAGTTCTAGTTCAGTTCTAGTTCAGTCTAGTTCAGTTCTAGTTAAGTTCTAGTTCAGTTCTAGTTCAGTTCTAGTTCAGTTCTAGTTCGTTCTAGTTCAGTTCTAGTTCAGTTCTAGTTCAGTTCTAGTTCAGTTCTAGTTCAGTTCAAGTTCAGTTCTAGTTCAGTTCTAGTCAGTTCTAGTTCAGTTCTAGTTCAGTTCTAGTTCAGTTCTAGTTCAGTTCTAGTATCAGTTCTAGTTCCGTTCTAGTTCAGTTCTAGTTCAGTTCTAGTTCAGTTCTAGTTCAGTTCTAGTTCAGTTCTAGTTTCAGTTCTAGTTCAGTTCTAGTTCAGTTCTAGTTCAGTTCTAGTTCTTCTAGTTCAGTTCTAGTTGTTCAGTTTCTAGTTCATTCTAGTTCATTCTAGTTCAGTTCCTAGTTCAGTTCTAGTTCTAGTTCAGTTCTAGTTCTAGTTCAGTTCTAGTCAGTTCTAGTTCATTCTAGTTCAGTTCTAGTTCAGTTCTAGTTCAGTTCTAGTTCAGTTCTAGTTCAGTTCTAGTTCAGTTCTAGTTTAGTTCTAGTTCAGTTTCTAGTTTAGTTCTAGTTCAGTTCTAGTTAGATCTAGGTCAGTTCTAGTTCAGTTCTTAATTTAGTTGCTGTTCAGTTCTAGTCCTTTCTAGTTAGTTTTGAAAATGACTCTTTAACTATTTCATTACTGTAAGTACATGATAACATATCAACATACTACTTAATATAAACGATTTAAATCAATGAATTTTACAAAGTATGGCTGTTTACATGCAAGTGTTCTTCTGTATGCTTTGCCAGTTTCATATATTGTCATATACATATGAACACTCAATCACACTCATTTTACATTTGTGTTTAGGTGTGTGCATGTATTATATGTATTTATTGTAAATCTATATAGAATATTGGTAATTAAATTAAATGAAAGCACTAACACCTTTTGACTTTAAAGTTGTATGCATATGTTTGTAAACATTTATATGTATAGGTAGATTTCTTTATATGTATGTATATTTATTATAAAATCTTTTTGCTCCTAAAGGTGTTAAAACTCATACTTTGTTACTTTTAGTTTTTTTTATGTAAATTTATTTGTAGTATCCTTTCGTGTGCATATGTGTAAACTTTTGCTTTGTGTGTGTGTGTGAGTCTGTTTCTGCCTGCTTGACTTTAACAGCAATTTTACTTCCGTTTATTGGCTTTGAGTGTTGTTTAAACACCGTGTCGTAAACAACAAAACAAACTTTAAATTTAATTAAAGTGCTTGAGTATTGTTGTTGTAATTATTTATTTTATGATATTTTACTCGTACAAAATTTGTTTAACTGCAAAAGATTTTTTGATATTGGTGTTTGGTTTATTTCGTTAGAAGAGTTTGATTTACAAAATATTGTGGTAAATATAAATGAGGTCATGTGTAAGTTTTTATTCAAAGAGGAATCAAAAATTAATGAGGTTTTTGTGTTTGTTAAAAAATATGTCTTTTGGTTTATATTCAAATATTTTTTATAATATTTTTAGATATATTTTACTGCTTATTTAAAAATTATGCATTTTTAATAAATTTAATTTAATTTAAAATTTTTCCCCACAATTGCATAAACTATTTCCCAGAGCAAATAAAAAAAAAACTAAAATATTTAATTTTATAAATAATGCATACATAAACATGTATGACAAAAATAACTAAAACTTAATATTAGGAAAAAAATGTTGTTCACATTTTAATATAATAAATTATTCCAAAAAAAAAAATAATAATAAATAAACACAATTTTGCTACAATAAAGTGATTTTGAAAAGATATGTATATTAACCCAACATAAATTTAGTTTACATAACAAATTGTATGTTATTGTAGCTTAACAAAACTTTTAATCAATAAACAATTTGCATTTAATTAAACTTTTAATTGATTTTACAATTGGCGGTAATAGGAAAACAAAAATATTAAAAAAAAAAACTCTACAGCATAAGCAGGAATTGTCAAAAAGTTTAAAAGAAAATTTAACAATATTTCTTTCTTTCTCTTTCAGGGTTATAAAGTTTACTATACTACAAATCCTAATCAACCAGAAGCGTCTTGGGATTCTCAAATGGTTGATAACAGTGAACTGACAACAATATCTGACTTAACACCCCATGCCATATACACGGTACGTGTACAGGCATATACCTCCATGGGGGCCGGTCCAATGTCCACGCCAGTACAAGTGAAAACACAACAAGGTATGTAAACCCGTAATTTTATAATATTTTTATATTATTTAAAACCAACAAATAACAATATAAAAGTTTTCTTATATTTATTGCACTTTTAACTCAATGTTTTTCTTCTTAACCATCAAAATATAATCCCGCCTTTGTGGCAGCCAGACACCCAATAGGGAAACTAAAATCCCTTTTATAAAATCAATAATTTACATCAATAACAATTCATCTTCTTTCTATAACCTTGGTAATACAATTGTTTATCAATAACAAATTTTACAATATAAATCCCTGTGACCTCGTCTTTGCATTACATCGGGATTACCGGCTTTAATGTCTGCTGATGTTCAGTTCTTCTTTCTTTTAAACTTGACATCTTTAAGACATTTGTGATATAAAAAAAAACCTCGAGCGTACGTACATACTTTGTATGTGTTATTAAGTCAGGCGTTAAATTAAAATGTGTTCAAATCAAATGAAATAAAATGAAAAATAAAACGAAACTTTTAACGGAAAAATTTGCTTAAACACTGAAGAAAAATACAAAACTTTATATAAAAGTAAAATTTTTAAAGCATTTGGTACTTTTTTGCGGTCAAATAGCAATAACTGAGTTAATAATTGTTAACTAGAACAGAACTAGAACAGAACTGGAACAGAACTAGAACAGAACTAGAACAGAACTAGAACAGAACTAGAACAGAACTAGAACAGAACTAGAACAGAACTAGAACAGAACTAGAACAGAACTAGAACAGAACTAGAAAGAACTAGAACAGAACTAGACAGAACTAGAACCAGAACTAGAACACAACTAGAACAGAACTCGAACAGATCTAGAACAGAACTAGAACAGAACTAGAACAGAACTAGAACAGGAACTAGAACAGAACTAGAACAGAACTAGAACAGAACTAGAACAGAAACTAGAACAGAACTAAAACAGAACTAGAACAGAACTAGAACAGAACTAGAACTAGAACAGAACTAGAACAGAACTAGAACAGAACTAGAACAGAACTAGAACAGAACTAGAACAGAACTAGAACAGAACAAGAAGAGAGCTACAACATAACTAGAACAAGAACTAGGACAAGAACTAGAACTAGAACAAGAACTAGAACAAGAACTAGAAGAAGAACTAGAACAGAACTAGAACAAGAACTAGAACAGAAGTAGTTATTTAGTTATGTGAATTAGTTAGTTAGTAGTTAGTTAGTTAGTTAGTTAGTTAGTTAGTTAGTTAGTAGTAGTTAGTTAGTTAGTTAGTTAGTTAGTTAGTTGTTAGTTAGTTAGTTAGTTAGTTAGTAGTTGTTAGTTAGTTAGTTAGTTAGTTAGTTAGTAGTAGTTATTAGTTAGTTAGTTAGTTAGTTAGTAGTTAGTTAGTTAGTTAGTTAGTTAGTTAGTTAGTTAGTTAGTTAGTAGTTAGTTAGTTAGTAGTTAGTTAGTTAGTTAGTTAGTTAGTTAGAGTTAGTTAGTTAGTTAGTAGTAGTTAGTTAGTTAGTTAGTTAGTTAGTTGTAGTAGTTAGTTAGTAGTTAGTTAGTTAGTTAGTTAGTTAGTTAGTTAGTTAGTTAGTTAGTTAGTTAGTTAGTTAGTTAGTTAGTTAGTAGTTAGTTAGTTAGTTAGTTAGTTAGTTAGTAGTTAGTTAGTTAGTTAGTTAGTTAGTTAGTTAGTTAGTAGTAGTTAGTTAGTTAGTTAGTTAGTAGTTAGTTAGTAGTTAGTAGTTAGTTAGTTAGTTAGTTAGTTAGTTATTTAGTTAGTTAGTTAGTTAGTTAGTTAGTTAGTTAGTTAGTTAGTAGTAGTTAGTTGTAGTAGTTTAGTTAGTTAGTTAGTTAGTTAGTTAGTTAGTTAGTTAGTTAGTTAGTTAGTTAGTTAGTTAGTTAGTTAGTTAGTAGTTAGTTAGTTAGTTAGTTAGTTAGTTAGTTAGTAGTTAGTTAGTTAGTTAGTTAGTTAGTTAGTTAGTTAGTAGTTAGTTAGTTAGTTAGTTAGTTAGTTAGTTAGTTAGTTAGTTAGTTAGTTAGTAGTTAGTTAGTTAGTTAGTAGTTAGTTAGTTAGTAGTTAGTTAGTTAGTTAGTTAGTAGTTAGTTAGTTAGTTAGTAGTAGTTAGTTAGTTAGTTAGTTAGTTAGTAGTTAGTTAGTTAGTTAGTTAGTTAGTTAGTTAGTTAGTGTTAGTTAGTTAGTAGTTAGTTAGTTAGAGTAGTTAGTTAGTTAGTAGTTAGTTATGTTAGTTTAGTTAGTTAGTTAGTTAGTTAGCTTAGTTAGTTAGTGTAGTAGTTAGTTAGTAGTTAGTTAGTTAGTTAGTTAGTTAGTTAGTTAGTTTAGTTAGTTAGTTAGTTAGTTAGTTAGTTAGTTAGTTAGTTAGTTAGTTAGTTAGGTAGTTAGTTAGTTAGTAGTTAGTAGTTAGTTAGTTAGTTAGTAGTTAGTTAGTTAGTTAGTTGTAGTTAGTTAGTAGTTAGTTAGTTAGTTAGTGTTATTCAGTAGTTAGTTGTCTAGTACTGAATTCCAATGACAAGTAATTGTATTTGGTAGTCTTCAATTACAATTACATACTAGTAATTACTTGTAGTACTTACTTGTATGGAAAACTCCTTTACTTACAGACTTTTGGGTCCCATCCTGCAAAATTTCTTATCCCATACTTTTTAAGCACATTTTGTACATTTTTCCCGGATGCCTTCATTCAATCAAATTACTTATTTTAATAGTGTTAATGAGTTTTAAATATAGTACTTTTTCGTCCACATATAATACATTCATAATATTTTCCATTTAAAAAATAAACAATTACACCAAAAGTCTATATTTATAAGTACATACATACATACATATTACATAGTTATATTATTTTAATTAACGCGTTTTATATTTTGTGTTTGTATTGAGCTCAAATAAACCATGATATTTGTCAATATATACATACTTACAACATACATATGTATAATGTATTTAAAATTTTTCACGAAATGTCAACACTGAGGTTTTTCTTTATTAAATATTTTGCCAGTGTAGTTTTTTGGTCGGTTAGTGTCCTACAGCGGTAGTAGACCATAAAGGCAACTGAATAAAGATTCATCACAGTAATAAATCCAGAAATTAAATCCCTAAAAAGTGAAAATTTTTACCTTTAAATGCCTTAATAGATTTTTTACTATTTTTAAATTAAAAAAAAGGTCAAATTACAATTTTAAAAGTAATTTTCATTAATTCATGAACATTTTTTTATGACAAAATATCTTCCTTATTTTACATTTAGTTCAATCACTTGTTAATCGACACCAATTAAGTGGATTTTTTTTTGTTCGTGCGCACAATTTCTTTTGTCAACATATTTAAATTGTCCATTTTTGTTGTACAATTTTTTTGTTGAAAATCATTAAGGAATAAAACGAAATAAATTATACGGGCAAAGTAAAGAACCATTAAATACAGGATCGCTCTTTTCCCTCTCCCCCTCAATATCTTTTTTACATTGGATACTGATACATATTTACTGTTATAATGTTAACAACATGTTAAACTGATACAATCACAAATTAAAATAATAAATACGAAAAATCACTCACACATACACAAAAAAGCACGCACTTAAACATGTACAAGTTTATATCCTTTTTCCGATTTAAATCTACAAAAAAAAAAAAACAACAATTTGTTATATTGTATGTATATTGAAATTCTATATAAATATATTTAAGTTGCATTGCCATATTTTGCTGTAGTTTCTCTACTTTTTTTTTAACAGTCATTTTTACAGAAAATTATGACAAACAATAATGACATTGATTGGTGTTGAACGTTGGACGACAATAACGACAAGAAATAACAAAAAATAACAGGAAAAGATAATAAAAAGGAATATGTTGTAATTAATTATAATTGTTTCGAAATCATGTTTAAAACAGAAGAATAAATGCAGTTGGCTGAGAAGAAATAAATCAATTGTAGTTAAAATTGTTTAAAGAAAGGAAAAGTGAACAACCGGACAAAGAATGCTGTTAACTTGGCAGGATTTAAAGAATTTAAAAGCTTATCATTGTAAATGGAGATGTGATTCCAGAACTTAATTAAAACTGAACTAGAACAGAACAAAAAAAGAACAGAACCGAACTAGAACAGAACTAGAAAAGAACTAGAACAGGACAGAACTAGAACATAACTAGAACAGAACTAGAACAGAACTAGAACACAACTAGAACAAAACTAGAACAGAACTAGAACAGAACTAGAACTAGAAGAACTAGAACAGAACTAGAACAGAACTAGAACAGAACTAGAACAGAACTAGAACAGAACTAGAACAGAACTAGAACAGAACTAGAACAGAACTAGAACAGAACTAGAACAGAACTAGAACAGAACTAGAACAGAACTAGAACAGAACTAGAACAGAACTAGAACAGAACTAGAACAGAACTAGAACAGAACTAGAACAGAACTAGAACAGAACTAGAACAGAACTAGAACAGAACTAGAACAGAACTAGAACTAGAACAGAACTAGAACAGAACTAGAACAGAACTAGAACAGAACTAGAACAGAACTAGAACAGAACTAGAACAGAACTAGAACAGAACTAGAACAGAACTAGAACAGAACTAGAACAGAACTAGAACAGAACTAGAACAGAACTAGAACAGAACTAGAACAGAACTAGAACAGAACTAGAACAGAACTAGAACAGAACTAGAACTGAACTAGAACAGAACTAGAACAGAACTAAAACAGAACTAGAACAGAACTAGAACAGAACTAGAACAGAACTAGAACAGAACTAGAACAGAACTAGAACAGAACTAGAACAGAACTAGAACAGAACTAGAACAGAACTAGAACAGAACTAGAACAGAACTAGAACAGAACTAGAACAGAACTAGAACAGAACTAGAACAGAACTAGAACAGAACTGGAACAGAACTAGAGCAGAACTAGAACAGAACTAGAACAGAACTAGAACAGAACTAGAACAGAACTAGAACAGAACTAGAACAGAACTAGAACAGAACTAAAACAGAACTAG